AGAATAAAATGTAGTATGAATATGGAGTAGCAGACACATACAGAAGTTTTGTGTTCATTTGCTTGCCCAGAATAATTTCAACTAAGAAGGGCTATCAGCTAAATTACTTCAAACTGATTTGACCAGTTCTTCCAGTGGCCTGGATGGATAAGTAGTAAACAAAGCGAACAAGAGATGTTCAGTAGAAAGCTTTCCAGGTTGGTTTTCCTACCTAGTAAGGTGAGCCACAGCTTTGTCTCTTGTCCAGCTTTGTAATTCCTTTGTTACATTATATTAATGTCTCTCTCACTTCCCAAGAAGCAGCCCTGAGAGAGTGAGGGGAAAGCTCAGAGTGGGGGGAAAGCTCCTGAGGACACTGGTTTTGCCACTTATTAGCCATAGCATTTGGGCAAGCTATTCAATATCTACTGACCTTATTATGTGCACAGTAACACCTGCTTAAAGGAGCTCTTCACTGTTTTATACGAAGTCCCTAAATTTTTGCCTAAAAATAATAAAGTTGTTTTAAAGGTAGAGCACTAAGAAGAGCAAGCAATTCATGACCTAGAAACTTCTATTGTGATCTGCAACTAGTCCTTCATTTCTGTGTGTGTTAGCCGTTGAGAAGTCTGTTCTTCCTAAGCCTCTTTGTAGATAGATTTGTGTACTCAAGCTGCTTCCTAGGTTCTTGCTGTGTCCTGACCTTCTCCCAAGAATCCCAAGTCCTTCTCAGTGTGATCAAAACCTGTTTTTTGAGTCCATTAGTACTAAATAAGATTATTTTAAAAAATAATTGGTGATAGTTTTTCCATATATTTTTATTATCATATCGTTTTTAAATGTGATATTTTATTGATTTCTATAAAAAGTTGTGCATGAGGCTAGTGTTAAGAACTTGATCCTGTATGATAACATTAGAGGTCCAGTGCACAACATTCTTGTCCCTCAGCCTGGCCTGTGCCCTCTTGCAGTCCAGGACCAACTGCTAGCTTAGGGAGCAGGCTAAGCTGGCAGTCAGATATCCTGGGATCCTTAGCACTGCCTCAGAGGCAGGAGAAGCTCCCGCCACCACTGCTGCACTCACAGACCATCTGGCTTCTGGCTGAGTGCTGCTCCCCCTGTGGGAGCACACTAACCACCAGGGGGGCTGCTCCTTATTGAGTGTCTGCCCCTGGTGGTCAGTGCATGTCATAGCAACCAGTCATTCTGTGGTGAGGTTGATTTGCATATTATGTTTTATTTCATAGGATGGTCTTTAAGGAATAAATCAGAAGCCACTTGAAACATTTGGGAATACAGAAAGTATGGTAGGTGGAATAATGGATCCTCAAAGATGTCAATTTTGTAATTCCTGAAATCTGCCAATATTCTATCAAAAAATGTATCACTAATTATTTTTTTAAATCTTATTTAGGATTAGTGGATTCAAAGGAAAGGTTTTAATCCTACTGAGAAGGACTTGGGGTTCTTGGGGTTGTCTCATATGTCAAAAGAAACTTTGGAGAAGTGATATAATTAAGGATTTTGAGATTGGGAGATTTTCTTGAATTACTGGGTAGACCTAATGTAATTACAAAGGTTCTTATAAGAGGGAAACAGGCACTCAGAAGAAAGAAATAGCTAAGTTCTGCCTGGAAGATAGCAGAAGGGGTCACAAGCCAAGGAACATACACTGAGTGGCCAAATTATGATTTCTGAACGCATAAGCATAATAATTTGGTCACTCAGTGTATATCCTATATAATAAAAGTCTAATATGAAAATTGTCCCCTCGACCAGAAGTTTGACTAACAGGCAGGCCGGCCAACTGCCCATGTCCCCTCCCACTGACCAGGCTGGCCAGACCCCACCCATGCAGGAATTCATGCACTGTGCCTCTGAAAAATTTTCCTCTTCCCTACCATTTTTTCCATCCGCTTCCACTTCCCACTCTCTCTAGTGTTTCATATCTCAGTTAAATAGTGATTGCCCCAAGAGAACATGTGGAATGCCTCCACCCCTCACAATCCAATGCCTGCCATTCTAAATTGGGATCCCTGATGTTATTCTCTCTCCTAGTACCCTGCACACTTACAACATTTTTAAATTATTTATTTCAATGACTATTTTGTTGTTTTATCTCTGTACTATTATAAATTTGGTGGATACAAGAATCATATTTGGTGTTGTGAACCCAGCACATAATAGGTATCCACAAAGTATTTCTTGGCTGAATGAAAACATTCCAGAATTCTACATATTTTGTAAATCATGCTTTATAATGAAGTCTATCTAGAAGCATGAGCAATAAACTAACACACTTCCTTCTCTTTCAGAGGTCATGAGGCAGGCTTTGCAGTAACTGTTTTCCTCTGAAGTCTTAGTCAATGTCATTATTATTCAGCCAGGTGACAATTGATGGATATTTTTTGTGACACATCTTATCTAAAAAAAACTATAATAGTTCCCCCAAATTCCTGCTGGATAACATTCAGGATGCTTTTTCTTGCTTTTATTTTTATTATATTGTTTTGAAATATAATTTGCAAACTTATGTAGTAATCTTTAAACATCTATTTGAGAACTGATTTTAAGAGCTTAGAAGGTCATCAGTACATTATTTGTATCTTCTGAAATTTTGATTCCTCAAGCTAAAGATATGCCTGAAATCTTGTTGGGATGAAAAAGTGATTAACATTTGTGAATGGTTTTATGAAGCCTCAAAACATTGAACAATTAATGAGAATATGAATAAATTGTATTTATATGTGGTTCAGAAACTTCACCATGTGATTGCAATGGGTTTTTGATATTGTTGCTGTTGTTTTAGATATATTTTTCTCTGATTGCAGATATGTATAAAGATGGTCTTTAAATATTAGATAATTTTCCCATAATTATTCTGAATGTTTTTATGATGTTTGCTCAGATACGTCCCCTTTGTTAAATGTTGATTCTGATTTTAAATGTATCAATGGAAAGGAAATTAATTTTATTGAGACACTATATGCCACTATGTCCATTAGGCTATTCTTCATAATAATTTATGATGATAATTAAGATTTTATTAATCCCATTAGGAAAAAAAATAAAGAAAGCGAGGGCCTTGGAGATTAAACAGCTTGTTTAAAGCCACAGATAAGGTCCGTGGCAGTGCCTGACCTAAGTGCATGCCATTTCCTCTAGACCACACGCCTTTTCATGGATGCCTGCAGACCAGCACAGTGTTCTTGATGGCTCTTTTCAACAGACCAGTTCAAATGTCCCTTTCCTCAAAGCCTTATGCAATGAATCCAGACCTCAAGATGGAAATGCTAAATAAATTGGGGTACTGGAACTTATAAAATAAACCCATCATGTTCAGCACAGCCACTTTGACCTCTTAATATTATTAACCTCTACAGAACACAGGTTTTGTGGCCATATTTGCTGTGGCAGGACCACACTCTATGCTCACTTAACCCTGTGGCAAAAACAAACAAACAAAACAACAAAAACACACACATAAAACAAAACAAAACCCAAACAAACAAAGAAATCCAGTCTTCCCAGTGATAGGAAGAACCTAATGAGAAGAATTTGTAATAAGTATAGCTTTTGGTTTCTAACCTTATGAGAGGCCTCTAACAAAATATATTTTAATTTTTTGGATTGTTTGCCAGCCTCTCATGTTAGAAACCTTCCTTTGGGGAACTCTTTTCATCACATACCAATGGAATGTAAATGATGACTGCTTGTGATTAGTGACAATGAAGTGAGGGGAGGGAGACTATCATACAGTCACCTCTGAAAGGCCCTGGTCAGTTATTCTGGCTTAACCTCTTATTAACAAAAAAGTTAGTAAACCTTTCAGGTGCTAAAGCTTGATGTGCTGTTCAGCATACCTGGCTGGTGCAGGATAGATGCTTCACTGGTATGGATTTGAGCAATCAGTGATTCTCAGATAAAAGAAAGGCTAGTCCAACTGCAGAAGACATAAGTAGCTGTTCAGAAACTGAGTCAGGTTCCAGCAAATGCTCTTGTATTTGCACATCTCCCAGTCAGAAAGGGAAAACCAAACCCTCCTTTTTTACTTATCCCCTGTATTTCCTTTGTTTTTAATACTAAGCAAGCCACCGATGGCCCTCAAAATTAGAATTTACTTAAAGAAAACTGGAAGATGAAATGTCCTTAAGGACAGTGGATGCTAAGAAAATAAGAAGTGTCCTTAAGGATAGTGGATGCTAAGAAAACAGGCACCAAGGACCAGTGAACAAAAAGCACGGATGCAGTGAACCAGGAGTCAGTAACTTCTCCAATGGAAGGCCTTTCATGATGCCCAACGCCCTAGGTGATAAGTAAAGAGCTGGATCAAGAAATTATTATTCAATGTTAGGCCTGCAGGATGTATAATAACCAGCCTTTCAAATGTTTTGTGTGTGTGTGTGTTTTGTTTTGTTTTTTACCAGTTTGTTTGAATTGTCTTTAGACACAACTGTGAAACTCAAAAAATGTCTACTTGACTCCGTTTTGTAACCTGAAAAACACCCAGAAAGCCATTTTATTTTCTTAACAAAATGGCAAGGTATTATTTAGAAGTTGAAGCGAAAGCTTTTACTGCTCGGTCTGTAAAAAGAAACAGCACAGCCCAGCAGAGTTGCTGACAAGTGACACAAATATAGTCCACGCTAATGTGCAGGGAGAAACAACCTTGAGAATTTAAAACCGGCTGCAGCAGAAAAAATATCTTCATCCAGATATGTGGTCCCTCATGAATTATACTATTATTTTAGTTGATTTTACCTGACATCGCCCTATGATTTTCTTCAGTGACAAGAAAATTGCAGCCGGCCCTTGACAGTTGGTCACAAATTGACTGCACAAAACAAAATAAAACAGTGAAGTAATCCCCAAGTAAATTTAATGAAACCTAAATCCCAAAGGGCAGCACGCTTCTGTAGGCAATGGTCTTATTTAATAAATTTCCCCCTGCTTTCACTTTTAGAGCTATATTTACACAGACAAATTTAATTCATTGGGTTTACATTTCCTCTTCCTCTTAGTTTGTCCACCAGGCACATATGGGAAGGACTGTAAACAGGTATGTCAGTGTTCAGCCGAGAAAGAGGACTGTCACCCAGTCACGGGGAGATGTACCTGTCTGCCCGGCTACCATGGTAACCGCTGTCATCTCCGTAAGTGTGTGCTCCGCTTTAGTTATAATTTATAGAAGAGACACCAATAGGCGCGTCATCATTTGGAATGCTAAAGAGAAAATGTTAATTCAAGCTTCTAATTCATAACAAATCTTATGGGAATTTTTTTAAATATATTTTTTATTGATTTTTACAGTTAGGAAGGGAGAGGGATAGAGAGAAACATCGATGAGAGAGAAACATCAATCAGCTGTCTCTTGCACACCTCTCACTGGGGATGTGTCCACAACCAAGGTACATGCGCTTGACCGGAATCAAACCCGGGACCCTTCAGTCCGCAGGCCAACGCTCTATCCATTGAGCCAAACCGGTCAAGGTGGGAATTTTTATTGAATGGTTGAAAACATAAACTTTCTTGTGCAATTTGTTCTCTGACTTTGCCTTTTCCATTAAAATTATCTCCCTGAAAAGAGACAAGAAATAGATAAAGAAAAAGAAATAAAGAATAACATATGAACTGATGATTATAAATCATTGTACAGAAATAGCAACATATGAAAGTGATATGTCAAGTAAGTTTTAGGATCTGCTTAGGAACAATCAAATTAAACAAATTCTTACTCTGGAATGAAAACAATGACTTGCTTAAAGGATAAAATGCCAGTTGGCTCATTGTTATGTAATAAAAAAAAAGAATAGTCCCTAGACCAAACACCTTATATTGATCTGCTAGGAATGTTAACATCGAAAATGTTTATAGGAGAACACACAATCAAAAGTCCCAAGGAGCATGTTAAAATGTTCAGTCAGCTACTTAATTTTTAAGCTTGTAATTATTTGTAATGTACTTTTTATAAGTTTAAGAATAAAATGATTTGGCCTCAGTTTCATTTTTTCCCCCCAACTTGGCCATCGCCACTCTTTTCTCTCTAGTTGCTCCCAAGGCAGATTCCTTCTATTTTCCTTTCCTAATCTTGCCAGTATGTGGACTGATTTCCGGATTCCTTGTGTCTCCAAATGCTACCTATGAAACATACACTCATGGTCAAGCTATTGATTTTAATTTTCTGCAAGCCACAGAATGTATATTTTGAATATCACTTCTCTCTTTTTTGCCCTAATTTTAAACATTGCCAGCTCAAGACACAAGTAAGTGTCTATGACATGGTTTCAAATAGCATTGTGTTTGGGATCCATAACCACTATAGTTATTTGAAATGAAGAACTAAAATATAAAATGAGTAAAATTTTAATTATTTCTTTTGGTTATGGTACATTTTAAACACACTTGTTAATAGAGAAAGAAAGGATTCCCTCACACTTGATTCTGTCATATTTCCCAGGAAGAATTACTTCTAGATATCAGGATACTTTATGTTAATAAAATATTATCAAGTTACAAAAAGCTGATAGCACTTTTATTTAGAAGGCAAGGCAAGCCTCCTTGGGTTGAAGGAGGGAAACTTCGCCTTGTAAAAGCAAGGCTGAGGCAGGGAGCTGCTCCCTGGCTAGTCAGGTTGGCTTAGTTCCAGGCAACACGTGGTTGGAAGTTGCTGCTAAGGTTCCTTGGCAACATCCACTGTAATTACAGGACTACGAAAAAGGGTTCAAGAAAATATTCATAAAAGGTGCAGCTGGCTCGAACGCAAAAGTTTCAGCAGCCAAAAACAACTGGGCTTTCATGTTCTCAAGTTCAGATTGGAGAATCCAAATTTTCTCTTGGTAGAGGTCAGAGGAAGCAGACAAATGTGCAGTGGGAATCTCACCACTTGTCCATAATTTATAATGGGCTGGTCAGTTTCAGTGCATGGATAGCATTCGGGGGGAAAAACAAACTTCCCCAGAAGATGTAAACTCATCACGCTGTGTATTTTTGGACCTGTAAGAAATTGTAAAGTGACTCTGGACCCTGGAAATCTTTTATTTATTTATTTATTTTTTACCTGCAGTACTCACTATGTATAATGACTCTCTTTGAGAGAATTTAAGGCACTGAGGTCCTCTCAAAACATGGGCAATTCTGTTGAGAGTATTCATAAAGCACCCTCATACTTGGTTTTGAACGCTTGGAGAAACGTGGGCCACAGGAAAACTCATGTGTGCCAGGAGGTGATATCAAGATGTTGACAGAAGTCTCATTCTCATGTTCTTGCTCATGGCAATGAAAATTTACAGGCCAAATCATAGTATCTCTTTTAAGTATAAAATAAAACTTCCTAATAATGGCTAGTGTATGTGTGAGTTGTGAGTAATCTGGTCAACTACTGGGAAATCAGACCCTGTTAAAACAGATGTGTGCGTTTTACCTGCTTCAAAGCTGTGACTCAGGATATAGGCACAACCTTCCTTGTTCTAAGTTTCTAATGAACTTACAAAGGCATTTACATCATCACAGTATACAGTAGCCTTTAATGTTAAACAAATCAGAACTGTGAATTCATACCTAAGCTTCTTCCTAGTCAAACTATGTAGGAAAAAAACAGTCACCTTCTAATAGAAAATAACTAAACATCCCTTGTCAGAGAGACACAATTTTCCAGGAGATGTGGTTGTAAAGGATAGGCCAATAGCCAAGTAATGATCAACATGGAATGTTAGGAAATGAGGGAAAGGAGGCTGAATTTCATACAACAAGTCAAATAAAATCATTATGTTCTGGGCATTTGTTTCCTTGTTCACTTTATTAACCATGTGAGCAAGGGATATGTGCATGATTCCAGAAGACAAATTGTTACATAGCCACAGAATTATGCAAGAAAGTGGAATTGTTATAAAAGTACTTATTTTTTTGAAGGGGTAAAATAGTTGTGGGCACTTCTTCTGTAAACAAATACCATACTCTTGATATAACTTCAATGAGTTGTGGGACTAAGAGGATAGCACATATACTGTCTCTCAACAGATGGTGGACTCATTAGTTTGTTCATCAAAGTCAATGATCCTATTTCAAAAGGATAACTAAATTGAAGGCTAGAAATCAGGTAATTTTTTTCTCTATGTATATATAAAATAACAAAGAAATTATTTTATCAAATGCTCTACCACTTTTAACATAGTTTGCAAAATGGGTATACCTCAGAGGGAAATTATGTTTCCAAAGTAATTTTGAGTCACATAAAAGTGATCTCAAAATATAGAGATTTACATACATCAGGTATTTAACTTTATCAAATAATTATACATAAACTTTTTCCCCCTTTCAAATGAGATGCTGATTCTCATAATTATATTCACAAGTTAACATTTTTCTCATTAACAAGTTCATAAGTTTGACTCTATTGGGGGTTGCTCTTTTCCTTATTTGCACAGAAATCCATGTCACCTTTCACTTCAGAGTAATGTGACTCCAGAATTTTCTATGCTAATCAACTCTTATTAATTTAACCCCCCTTTATGGAGGCAATATGCCAGCAGTATACACTAGACTTCCTTGTTTCAAACTCCATGCCTTCAACTTGCTGTCTCGTATGTACTTCAATATCAATCAATCAAACATTTTTAAAGTATCACACATAGTAATGGTACAAACTATAAAAATTTACATTCTAAAAGACTGACTCAGGGGACATGAAGAAGGATATTTTATCTTGGTTAATATGAGAAGAGGAGGAGATGGGGACTCTTTTTTAATCATTAATTTTGTTTGTGGGTTCATTCTATTGAATTTTTGTGAAGGAGTTAAAGAACTTCTTAGAAGGACTGTAGAATGTGTGTAACAGAGAAGGGTTAATTAGCTATGAACACTGATATCCCTTGGAAAGAGGGGATGACAAAAGGGAAGATGAAATAAACCCTCTAATTTTTATAGAGAAAACTAAAGCAATATAACAGCTATACTAGAGAAACAACCTTTGGTATGAATAATTTTAAAGTGTTTTTCTTTCTATCTCCATCATTGAGAATTTTACTTTAAAATTATATTTTCTAAAATTACTTATTCTTGGGGAAAGAAATCGTGTCAAAGAGACACTATTTTGAATCTGAGACTCAAAGTGAGAATTCAAGGTTTAGAACAGGATATATGTAGGAATTATAAATAAACAAGAACAAAAAACCTGAATCTCGAAGAAAACCATTTATTGACTTACATCTCTAAAACTCTGGTACATGTGAAATATTTAAAAATGTTCTTTTCCGTCTGATTCTTACATAAAAATACAGAATAAAAGGGAAGGAAGGAAGAGTCATGTGGTCTAGTTTAGTCACTTTTAGATCTATGCTTCCATGGGAAAGTTTTTCCAGGAGAAAGGACCGAAATCAAATATTAAATTATTTGACTCAGGTCAAGTAGGTAAGGAAAGGGTTATGCTACAGCACACCAATGTTCCTGCCACTATCAATGAAAATAATAGCTACCACTGACTTGGGTGATTTATGGGTTTGGTAATGTGTTAGATATTCTAGTTTTTCACTCTAGTTCCCACAATAGGCCTGTGATTTTATTGTTATCCCTTTGGGAATGAAGAACCAGAAACTGAAAGAAAGGACTTACTCAAGGTGGTAACGCTAGTAAGTGCAAGATTCAGAGTTCAAATCACAATCTATTCCAAACTTGCTATAGCATTATATTTTAAATGTATGACAAGAGTAAAGAGAGTTATCTTCAACTGGTGACAGAATATTTTCAATAGATATTTCACGTCACTTCACTCTGTAGGCTTTAATTTTGTCATCTTAAAATAAGAGTTGAACCAAATGGAGCTGAGGTCTCTTGAAACTCAAACTTCTATGATTTTCAAGACTTTAAAGTTTTCCATAGAGGCTATCCCAACTTACATCCCCACCAGCAGTGTACAAGGAGTCACTTTTCTTTGCATTCTCTCCAACTTTTGTTATTTCTTGTCTTGTTAATAACTAGTAGCCCTGCACATGAATCTGTGAGCCAGTAGCTCACCAGTAGCTCACTGCCACACTCCAGTAGCTCTCCGCTGCCCACTTGTAGCCAATATATCACTGCTGCCCCCTGTAACTTCCTCTGCTCCCCTTATATGCCCCCTCATAGCTTAATGCCCTGCCACCCTCCTGTAGCTCTCAGCCCACTTCCCTGCCCTCCTGTAGTTCCCTTCACCCCCACAGCCCCCTCATAGCTTGCTACCCTGCCCCTTGCTGTAGCTCTCTACTGCCCATCTCTGCTACCCTCTTGTAGCTTACTGCCCCATCCTCCTGCTAACCCAAGATCTGGTCACTATGTGGTTGGTTGTTAAGCTTCATGGCATAATCACCATTTGCATATTACATCGTTATTATATAGGATAGCCATTCTACCAGGTGTGAGGAAGTATCTCATTATGGCTTTGATTTTATGATTTATATTTATTCTATTGCTAGTGAAGTTGAGCATCTTTTCATATATCTGCTGGCCATCTCTATGTCTTCCTGGAAAAAGTGTCTGTTCAGGTACTCTGCTCATGTTTTAACTGGACTATTATCCTAGCTAAACACCCCAATCTTTCAATCATTGCACACATAATGGGGTTTTCAGCTCACTCTTGGTCATGTCCAGTCTCCCTTTATCTTGAAATGTGAATATTTATCTAAAATTTCTATCACAGATATCATCATGGTAAGCCACATGTTCACAAGTGTAAAAGCAGAAAGCTGAGAAACCAACAGAAAATAAAGATACTTCCTCTATGCTATTTTGAATTCTTACTTGTATTAAACCCAGATCATTCCAGGCAAGAAAAGCTATAACACATAAATATTAATCAAAATAAATAAATTTATTGAGGCTGAAATGAAATAACCTTCTTTGGTAAATTGTCTCCTATTCTGGTTATTCTCTAAAAGTGAGATTTTTCAAAAAAGTTCGAAGTGGCTTCTTATAGCTTATTAGTTAGCTGCATCAGGAACTTTATGTCCTCATTTATATTTCTACATCATCACCTATCCTCAGGTAAGTCCACGCCTTGAAACAATAGCTTGAAAGTACCAAAGAACAGTAATTGGAATGTTGAGTAAACCACATGTCTATGGGCATAAATTTAAACTGATTGCTTCAAGTAACAGTACCACATATTGTTTGTTCTCCTTTAACAGAATGTCCAAAAGGCACTTATGGTCCCTATTGCAAAAGGACTTGTAAGTGCTTGAATGGTGGGAACTGTGACACCATGACTGGCACCTGTGACTGCCCTCCCGGCTTCATTGGGGCTGACTGCAGTCAAAGTAAGTCACTCTACCTATCATGAAATGGATATGCTAAAGCAGAATTTTTAAGAACCACACTTAGGAAATAGATATTGCTGCAGTTATTTTAGCGAATAATTTACTGTAGTAACAGCAAACACCAACTGACCTAAATTCTAGGATGTGGAGCACTTACATCGGGAGTTTTAGAGCTGATGTTGGTGAAGGCAGCCAAAGAGAGCCCTTTGATCATAACTTCTCTTGCCCTATCAATGTTGGACAAACATAAGGATTAAAAAATCTGGCAAGATCAGATCAAACTGGGGATTCCTGTTATGCGATGTCAAATTCATTATCTCAAGTTCCACAATTGCATTTATGCTCAGTAAACATTCAGCTCAAAATTAAGCAGTTCTGTCACTTATCAGAAAGCAATTCATTCCCTAAAATCCAAAGACCTTAATATTTGTCCCAAACCACTATTGACATAGTTGAAGGGACCAGTTGTGAATAAAAGGTCCCTTAAAAATTACCTGGCTTAAACACTTTGGGAATATCCTTAACAAATACGTTTTGCTTCTATTACACCTTTCAATTTCTAAGTATTTTGATACTTTGCAAGATCTCAATACTCTTTAGAGAGGAGAGGAGGCCATGGGTGGGTAGGAGAGCTCACGGTGAGGAGGTGGTCCTGGCAACCTGTGTTCTCTGTGCTATTGATGAGGAGTTCACTTTGTGATCTTTCACTGAGCTGCACATTTATGTTTTTTGCACTGTTATGTGTCTTATACTTTATAATTTAAAGAGTAAAAATCCCATCAAGGGATCTTAAATGACAGAATTACTGTGATTGCGAACTAGAGGTTTCTTTATTTGGAAGAGTGATAATGATATTTGTGATCAGGCAGGGTGCTCAGTTGTTGTGGGCTAAAGATATCCAAAATGCTTATCTCCTCTAGGCAGGTAATGGCCCAGTGTTCTTTGTAGGAGGGTATTTTTAATTACCCTGCCTCAGTACCTGCTGTTCTGAGGATAAAAGGCAAAAAAGACAAAGTCCTGGCTCCTCGTAGCGGAAAATTGAAACCTAGTGGATACTGCCTCTGAGGCCTCAACGGCCAAGTTGTCTTTGAGTTAAAGCCAACCCATAAACATCTCCTAAAGGTTCTGACTGGCTCCTTTGTGTTTGTTCTTCAAAGAGAATCTTTGGGAGAAATTTTCTAATTTCCTCAGGCCAAAGCATCTTCAAAAGCTATGGTTTCCCTGAATATTGAGAGTATTTTTGTCTTCACAAAGCTGTGATCTTGTACCTGAGCACTTTTTCTTCTTTACTTTGGCAGCTAGGTAGGTCCAAGCTAGTTTTTCAGTCCACCTTTTAACAAGTTCAAGGAATTAAGAAATTCATTTATGTGTGTGCTGTTACCTTCGCTTGATTCTCACAGAAATTTATTTTATCCTTGTTTATTTCCTGTATTTTGGTTAGCATCTCAGTGAATTTTTGTAATCAATTTGCAGCATAAAAACACACCAAGCAAACAAATTTATAAGCATGTTAATTTATTTTATATATATATTTGAGGTCCCATGCATGAATTCATACATGGGTGGGGTCCAGCCAGCCTGGTCAGGGGGAGGGGACATGGGCAGTTGGCTGGCCTGCCTGCTGGTCAAACTCCTGGTTGAGGGGACAATTTGCATATGAGCATTTTATTATATAGGATATACACTGAATGGCCAGATTATTATGCGTTCAGAGATCATAATAATCTGGCCACTCAGTCTATATTTTTATTAATTTCAGCGAGGAAGAGAGAGGGAAATATAGAAACATTAATGATGAGTGAGAATCATTGATGGGGATCAAACCTGCAACCCAGGCATGTGCCTTATCCAGGACTCAAACTGTGACCTTCTGGTTCATAGGTCGACACTCAACCATTGAGCCACACCAGCCAGGCTAAATTACTTTAATTAATATAATTAGTTTAGTAAATTTAACTTATTAAAATAACAAATTTGTTGGTCTCCAAAAATAAATTTACAAATAAATTAATAAATACATAAGCAAATATTTGGAGATGTGAGCATACTAGATCTTATATCTATACTAATAAAAGGGTAATATGGCTAATTAGACCAGATGTCTTCCAGACATCCTTCCAGACACAGGCATGGTGGTGGGAGCCAAGGCAGAGGCGGTTAGTGGTGACCAGGACAATAGGGGAAGGCAGTTAGGGGCTACAAGGCTGGCAGGGGAGGAAGTTAGGGGCGACAAGGCTAGAAGGGGAGGGCAGTAAGGGGTGATCAGGTAAGCAGGCAGAGGTAGTTAGGTGCAATCAGGCAGGCAGAGGAGCAGTTAGGGGCATCAGGCAGGCAGAGTGGTTAGGGGCGATCAGGCAGGCAGGTAGGTGAGTGCTTAGAAGAAAGTGGTCCCGGATTGTGAGAGGGATGTCTGACTGCCAGTTTAAACCAGCAGTCACAAATTCTCCAAGTGGTCCCAGATTGGAGAAGGTGCAGGCCTGGCTGAGGCACCCCTACCCGTGTACAAATTTTGTGCACCAGGCCTCTAGTCTATAATAATAAAAGCATAATATGCTAGTTAGACCAGACGTTCTTCCAGAAGACCTTCTGGACAAAGCCAGGACTATGAGGGAAGCCCAGGTCCCATGTGCCTTTTGAAGCCAAAGGGAAGCCCGGGTCCCAGGTGCCAGAGGGAAGCTGGTGCTGGCAACCATGGAAGGAATGCCTATTCTTGCACAAATTTTGTGCATTGAGTCTCTAGTTGATGTATAAGTGTAAGCTAAAATTCCAGGGTGGACATACACACACACAAACACACACACACACACACACACACACACACACATACACACACACAGTTGTAGGATAAAGCAAGTCTGAGTTTGTAAGAGTCATTTATATCATATATGTAAGTGTTTGACAATAGCTATTTGCTTGGAATTCCAGTTGTCAACTAAAACTACATACAAGTAAGCAACAATTCAAACAGTTCCTTTTTTGTTGTTGCTTTTTTCAAAGTAACCTTTTTACATTGACATCCACACTGAAGACAAGTCGGGAAATCTCTCTGATTAAAAGAAAGGGTGGTGCATTTACAAGTTTTTAAAACTCTTGACTGGCAAAAGGTTTTAATAAGAAAAATCTGCTTTTTGTTTTGTTCTTTGCTTTGCTCCTTCCCGCAGCTTGTCCTGCCGATCACTACGGGATGGACTGTGTCCAGCGGTGTTCCTGTGGCCCAGGACAGTGTAACCCTGTGACTGGAGAGTGCCACTGCTCGCCTGGCCACATGGGAGCCAAGTGTCAGCAAGGTAACAATGACTGCAGGGCCACCCTGTGCATCCAAGGCACTAGCTATGCTGAACTCTGAAGGCAGATTTGGTGCCAGGGACTATAATTAAGTAGGCATTGTCGACAACACTTTCTTCTTAAATGTGGCTTTCATAACATGAACTACAAGATCCTGTAGAGCTACATGGGAAATCTACCCTCCTGGAGGGTAAATAAAAATTGAAAACAAAAAACAAGGAATAATTCTTTTGCATACTTGACTAAGAAAATTTTTAAATAACTTGGGCAAACGTTTGTAAAGCTGCCAAAACGTGTGCATTGGAGATGTCTAATTATAAGAACTGAAGAGCTTTATATTCTTTTCAGCTTTCAGAAGTCCACTGAAAGCTGCAAGGAAAATAAGAGACAGGAAGAAAAACATGATCTGTTTAAAGCTGTGAAACTTCCTTGTCCTAAATCATGTTAATGAGACTAATAATGACAGAAGAACTGTCAAATTCCGTGAAGTGTGGACACGTGGAGAGGATGTAGGGGCCCTACAGCTCTTGAGTGGATCCTGCAAGGCAGCCACGTCTCCATGGCTCACATGAAGGGCAACACTAAGGACCCTTTTATGAATCGTGAGAATCTGGTGTCTGGGCAGGTTTCAGGAGCTTCCTTGAATCTCCTGGACATCTTGGAGCGGCAGAAAAAATGGGATAAAAGCAAGAAGTGAGCAGACGTACCATATTTACAGCTCTATACTGAAATAGAGGGGACTCATGGGTGTTTTACTCTGTGCCAAATAGGCTTCCTACTCGCTCAAATCAGATTTCTAATCCCAGATCCACACTACTCTCTCACAAATAGCCAGGACATTAAAAAAAAAAAGTTGATTAAAAAAACTAAGCTTATACATTTTTTAAATAATTCTCTTCATTTTGGAAACAAAATATGTAACCATTCAACATAGAACAAAAAGCTTGTTATGGAACACCTGAAAATATTAAGCATAATTTATTCTAAGAATTCAAGGGACATAATGAAAAAGCGTCCTCTGTAAAGCATGAGTGCAATGCAGATACAGGGTTCATGACATAAATGAAAACAGAACAAAAGAAAATGAAAAAATAAGCTGGCCGAGCTCAGAAAGAAGTGGATAAGAAAATTAGACCTCACATCTTATGAATAAAGGCCACATTGAATGCAGATGATAAGAGGATGGAATCTGCCGATGGGACAGCCAGGTACGTAGAGAATATGCTTGAAGAAAGTGCAAACAATGAAATGAAAATGAAAACTAATATATAAATGGGAAAGAAATTGATCAAATGTAATATTCAAGATATTTTATCAGAAATAAAAGAAGAGCTGGTGCTATAGATTGAATGAATACATTACATCCTTGGAAATGCTAGTTAGGGTTGAACCATGGGCAAGGGGAAACTCCATTGGGAAAATTAAAAGTATATATATGAGATTCCATATGAAGTGGGAGATCAGTCTGGCCTCATACCTCATAGCAATATTCATTCCAGCCTATGGTTGGTTAATCAATGCCTATGAAATTCTTGGGGGAAAATATGACTAGGGCATTTTATATACAGTGAAACTATCATTTCAGTATAACAAAAAATAAACAACTATTTTAATAAACAACTAAGTATATTTCTAGGAATGTAGCTATAAAATATTTTAAAGAAGCTAATCGAAGATAGATTTGAGCCCTCAAGTAATATATGGAAAAATCTCTGGTAAGCAGACTGTTAGGGAGCTTTAAATCTATTTTAATTAGGGATAAATTTAAAACAAATGTGGAGATTATACTCAAGTGATGAAGACAAACAGGTAAATATTAGAAATTATAACAATGTTGATATTTTAGCATAACTTTAAAAAGCATAAGCTAGAAGGGGAAAGAAGGTGGAGAAGTATACTGATGTTATTTCTGTATTATTGGTTGTGGGATGGCAAGGATAGATCTGTGTTAAATATAATATTTATATATGACAACTCAGTAAGTATGTTTAAATGAGTAGGGTAAATGCTAGAATTTAGAATGCTATAATTGAAAATGTAAGAATAAAACTGTAACCAGCTACAGTCAGGTAGAAGAGAAGAATGAGTAAAATTAGGAGAAAGCAGAATCATATTAGTTCTAATATCATTCATTCTGGAGGATCAATATGTACTAAATAAAGAAATGCATTATATTATGTAATTTTATATGCACTGTCTAAAGAAGAGTCCCTAGATGATATAAAATTACAAGACTTTCACTTAGAGAAAGATGGAGTATATATACTTTTCCCTATTTCTTCCTCCTAAAACAGTAAAAATTCTAGAAACTATATAGAAAACAAACATAAGAAACTGTGAAATGTGGAGAGAAAGAGACTCACTGGTAACAATGGGGACTTAGTGAACAACATAATCTTGAGTTCCTTGAGCTTCCTTTTTTTGTCTCATATATCCTGGACTGAGTGCAGAGAAACAGGAAACCCAGAAAAACTAATTGGTGTAGATAAAATATGGCTCAAGATAAGCCTGCTTTTTCTAATCAAAAGACCAGGAATGTCTAGCCAGGGTGGCTCAGTGGTTGAGCGTCAGCTATGAACCATAAGGTTATGGTTCAATTCCTAGTCAGGGCAAATGCCTGGGTTGCGAGCTCAATCCCAGGTTGCAGGAGGCAGCAGACCAATGATTCTCTTTCATTGTTGATGTTTCTATTTCTCTCTCCCCCTGGCTTCCTCTCTGAAAGCTATTTTATATATGTGACAATAATATGTTACTTCACCTATCAGATTTTCATACTATACCAATTTTATTGAAGATTGAAACAAGGACACATTGATAATTCTTAATAAATTTGCAAATCTCTTTGTAAGGAAATTTGATAATATCTGTCATGATTTAAAAGGACATATCACATTACTGAGAAAATTATCTAGGACTTACCATTCAGGTATAATATTACATATGAATAAAGACTTCTATGGGGCTGGCTATCCATGACAGTGTTGTTTATAATAGTAAAATATTTTAAACAATCTACTTGCCATCAATACTCAAGTGGTAAAATAAATATTTATTACATTCAATAAATCTTATGCAGCTGTTAAAAATGAATGAAGCAGGTCTGTTACATGTACAAATTTTGAAAAACCTTGGAAACTTTTATTTACAAAAGAAAGTTAATTTTACAATATTATTGTGTTAACATTTTAGATTTTAAAAAAAGATTAAAGGGTAAGAGAGATATACATATGTATGCCTAATTAGACATGGAATATTCAGTTCTTAATCTACTCAATTCAATAACTATTTATTGAATGCCACTGCCTGTTTCAAACTCACAGAATATATGGGTAAAATTTTGATACCCCCGGTTCTCATGCAACCTGTTTTCTTGTGGAGAAGAGACAATAAAAAGTAAATATATTTAATAAGTTAAGTCTGTGCATAATAAAAGGAAATAAAATCAATAGTAAGATAAAAATAGAGCATGGTAAGGGCCTTGAGAATGCTAAATGGGTTGACATTTCTAATTGAGTAGTCAGAATGAGGCCTATGATACAGAAAAAAGATGGGAACCTGTAAGAGTGGAGCCAGGGATGAAATGCTTTTTCTCAGACTATCTACAATAATAAAAGAGGAAGATGCAAATTGACAGTACTTTTGCAATGCTCATCAGCCAATCAGGAGTGAGTATGCAAATTGACCCAACAAAGATGGCATGTGGTTAGGGGCGGAATGCTTATCTTGTTGCTATGGTGATAACACAAGAATTCTGCACTGCCCCAGCCACCCTGGGCCTCTGGGCAGTATGGGAAGGCAGAAAGGTGGCTCTGGGCTAGAGCAAAGGTGGGACAGGCAACAAGGGGAAGGAAGGCCCATTCTTTGTGCATCAGGCCTCTAGTGCCTTTATATAATGTTTGATATAGTCCTCAGGTAATAACATGAACATTAAAAAAAAATCAATGAAGTTATATAAACAATTCTGTGCAAACATTGTTGTAACACTTAGACCTGTGAAAAATATCATTTCTCAGTCCTCCTCACTTTTCCAATTAAGCTTTTGTCTTAAGCATTATAAATTTCTATATTTTCACAGACTTGCCAGTTTCATCAGTGCCTTTCAGTGTTCAGGTTGGAAAATGAATGGGCCCCCTGGCTGCTTTAAATGGGGGAAAGGGAAACCGATGGAAGTTTATTTTAATAGGATAGGACTTGGTGAATTCTACTTCATTTGCTTTAAAGGCAAAAACTAAAAAAGAATAAATGACAATTAATTTAAAGACATATTATACATGTGATGATAATCTAACCAACTAAAATTATCATTAAAATAAACAAAATGAAAACTCCTCTTTCATTTGGTACTAAAATGAAGTGCACCTGTTCAATCCAATAAAAGCATTCAGATCGAATTCAAGTACAGGCTCTGTTATGTATTAACCAAATGCTTTTAGATGAGTAAAATAACAAAACTCTATAATGTCTCTCCTGCTACCTGGAGTAGAAAGAATTCTTGATGAGGAGTCTGAAGTTCTTGACTTGAATCTTGGTTTTTATCTCTTCTGGCTGCTTAAGCCCGAGGAAAACCTAAATCTCTGAGCATCAGTATTCTCAAGTATAAAATAAGGATAGTGAACCCACATCAGGGGGATATTATATTTGTGAGTATTAAATGAGATAATTCATGTGGAAAATATCATTATATGAAAATACTATAAACTGGAAGGTATAAATGGCAGGTCCTTGGCCAAATCTAGCCGCAAATGTGTTTGAATTGGCTGACAGTTCTGGATCTCACGGTGCTGTAAAGCAATTTTAATTAGTTGCCAATGTTCAAAGATTGGATGAATTTATGTAAAATATGGATTTTAAGTTTTCCTAAATATTATATTAACTGGCTTTATCGGGCCCATATTCTGTTGGCAAAAAACCAACTAAATGTGAGTGGTGGTTAGTCTTGCCTTAGGGAGCCTTTGTGCTCCCAATTGGTGTCACTTTCCCTCATTCGTCATTCAGTTATTTGCCCCCTGACAGGGCAGACTCAATTTTCCTTCTGCCTGGCCAGCTGCCCACTCTCCTATCTAAACTCCTACTGGCCACATATTTTTGTTCTGTCAACCACCATTGTATGCTGCAGTGCTTTTCCTATTCCAGCACAAAAAAAACACACATTCAACAAACTGCTCATCTGTCTTCTTTATCAGTGATGAGACAAAATATATAAAAGGCTTCCATTGCTAATCTGAGAATGACCTCTGCTTATTCTCTAAGGCACATCATTATGAGCTCAAGAAATATTGATGGAGTGAATAAAAACATGAATGAATGACAGTGATGTGCCTTCTACCCTAAAGATACATCTGAATGTGTGTTTTTATTTGAACATTGTCTTATGCTTTTGCTATTTAGATATGATGACTCTAACTAGAAGCAGAGAAAAAAAAATGTTTGATCGTATGACGTCTTTATTCAGTTTTATTTTATTTTATTTTTACTATAGAATGTCCCCAGACAAGATATGGCCCGAATTGTGAGCTACTGTGTAGCTGTAAAAACGGTGGCCTTTGCAATCCTGTAGATGGAAGCTGTTCTTGCGGCCACGGATGGACAGGAAATTATTGTGAAGAAAGTAAGTTGATTTCTGCCTTCTTTCATTCAATAAAAATCTAGAGCCTACTACTCATCAGACAGGCCTCCAAAGAGACGATTTCCCAAGAAGTTCACAAAAGCCACTTGTACCTATGATTGCATTTCCAATAAAAATAATGTTCTGCTAATATTGATGGATTTTTGTTACCTTGTTACCAGAATACCCCCTGAAAACTCTTAAATCCCTTAAATAATTAGAATAGTAGTAATATAAAAGAACTTCTCTGAGATCTAAATCCACTCCCCTTCCAGTCAGGGTAAGCATGAAATCTTTGTGGCCAGCAAATCTGCTGAACCCTGAATTTCTTGGCATGAGGTTAAAGGACCTCAACTACCACTGAAAATGGATCCATTGGACATTCACAAAATTTGAAAAATAAAATCAAGCAATTCTAAAAATATATAATCATGACATTCTATGATCACAAAGCAATAAGACAGAAATTAATAATAAAAGTAATTATCTTGTTGAATGAAACCTTGAGGCAGGCAGGGTGCAGGATGCGGGACCCTGGGCAGAGCCAGGAGTGAAGGGGAGGACTCTGGGAACAGAGGACTCCAAACTTTATTTCATCAGGAAAATATCATCATCTACCCCTGTAAATATATTTTTACACATAACTGACATTTATGTGCTTCTCAACTAATATATTATGCATACCATGAAACATATATAAAGATTTAAATTGCTGAAGAATGGATAAAGGTAAAGATAGATAGTTCTAATTCTCCTTTCCAAACTGCAGTTGATTATTTTGTGCAATCCTAAAGAGCATGCACCCTACTTAAAACTCACTTTTGTAGGAGATGGGTTTGTGTTCTGGCAGCAGAGAGAGAAGGGTCTCTGGCAGGGAGACAGTGTGGGTGAAAACACTGATGGGGGCCTACACTTGGGGCACCTTGAGTAAAAAAAAAAATTGACAATAAACTTGTACCTAGTTGTTTTCAACAATGGGGTCATGGCTTTTTAGACCTGCGTCCTGACATACTGTCACAATGAGTGTGACACCCACTGTCCTTCGCTATGAATTTGACTATCATGAAATTTGGCATTGTGGCACACAAAAAGCACCTTGCAATAGGAGTGGACAGACTTATATGCCAACTCTGCTCAGCCTATACCTTCCATGCTCTATGCCTTTGGGAAGGTCATAGTCTCAGTGATTTGCTTTTCTCACATGAATATTAAGACACTGACACTTGGAAGTGACAGTGCTTCTAAACCTAGTATTTAAGGTCTTTATCTTGGGTTTTTTTTGTGTGGATATTCTCCCTAATTTATGGAGATAACTGTTATCAATTTTGTGATATTGGAGATTGCTAAATCAGATTAATCACAGTTCTTTAAAAATAGACAGCAGCTTTAAGTCCATATTGATTTTTTAAAAAATTTTAAGTTGGACAACTCTTCAGCATTTGGGGACATAAGATGTTTTAACTTTTGATTTTATTATTTAAATCTTTGTTATTTATTAAATTATTTTAATTAAATTCAACTATTTATTATTAAAATTTATTCTATTAAACTTATTCTATTTTGTCATTAAAACTTTTGTTTTATCATTTATATTCATATATTATTTATTTATTTTATGTCAAATATATACAAGAGTTGAAGAGCCATTGGTTAAATACAAATGTAATTTTGCAACATTCTACTCTGAGAGTTTGTACCATTTTGCATCCTCATAACCAAGATATAGAGTATCTCTTGCATCAGACCTTTATCAAATGAGTATGTTATCAAAATTTTGGTAAAAAGTGTTATATCAGTGGATATTTGATTTTCCTTTTTAGTATTATGTATAATGTTAAGTGTCTTTTGTAACAGGTAAGCATGTCTTGCATTTCTTTTTTCTATACATTGTTTATAACTCAAGCTCATTTTTTATAAGGTTCTGTGTTTTTCTACTATAATACTATAAGTTGTATAGATATTAGAAATATTAACTCTTTGTTGTGAATTATTCACCCATATTTGGATAACATTTATGTTTTGTCTTTTTATTTTGCAACCTGACTGGTCATTAATTGACATATAAGAAATCACCCCAAAACTTAGAGATTGAAACAACCATGTATTATTTTCTCTCATAATTCTGAGGGTTAACTGCATTCAGATGAGTGGTTCTTCTCTCAGATAGCAGCAGGGGCTGAAGTCCTCTGGAGATTCAACTGGGCTAGAATATGGAAGATGACCTCTTCATTTACACATCTACCAACTAGGCTTTGCTCCACATGGCTTCTTTCTCCTGGTTTTAGTCAGCTCAGGCTGATATAACAAAATATCATAAAGTAGGAGGCTTAGACAACAGAAATTTATTTTTACAGTTCTGGAGTCTGGGAAGTCCAAGAGTAAGCTACAGGCAGATTTAATGCCTGGTGAAGGCCCTCTTTTCTGATTTGCTGATGGCCTTGTTTTTATTTTATTCTTACATGCGAGGGGGTGGAGGGGTGAGAGAGAAAGAGAGCACTTTTGTGTTTCTTCTTATAAAGTTGCTTGTCCCATCATTAGGGTTTCACCAGAATAATTCTCCAATAGAATCATTTGGTTTCTTACATGACAGCTGACTTCCGAAAGCAGTTGTCAGGTCTTCCTGGGGCTTGGAAATGATATTACATCACTTTCACCACATCCTACTGGATAAAGCAAGTCATAGGATCAGTCCAGATTCCACACAGGAGGGAACAACACAAGGGTGTGAATCCCAGGGGATGTGCTTCCCTGGGACTACCTTTAGATACTGAGTTCTTCATGACTCAAAGGGATTTTTTGTTTGGTTTATTTTTGTAATAAAATATATCTTCCTTCCCTTTATTTTATTTAAATTTGGAGTCACACTTAGGAATGTATTTCCCAATCTCAGGTAGTAGAGGAATTCACTCATATTTTCTTTTATTTACCAGTCTGATGTCATTTTTTGATATTTGATTCCCTAATGAATTTTAAATATTTTTTTGGTGAATTGTGTGAGAAATAAGTCCATTTTCTCCTTACATGGCTTTTCATTTATTGTAATGCAACTTTTACAAGTGTACCTTCCTCATTAACTCCAGATTTAGCCTTTAGCAAATACTAAACATTTATATGTAGTTTGGGATAGTTCTGGTTGCTCTGTTCTATTGGTCTATCTATTTAGGTGCAAATGCAGTACCATTTTTATTATGACGCCTTTATTACACATATTTGACACTGATAGATCTAGACATCCTTCATTGCTCTATTTTTTAAGGATTTTTTGACACTATCTTGTTTGTCTTTCCATGTGAACTTTATAATAAAATTGTCCAGATGCAAAAAACAAAAACAAAAAATAAAAAAATCAGGTATTTTTTAAAAATATATTTTATTGATTTTTTACAGAGAGGAAGAGAGAGAGATAGAGAGCTAGAAACATCAATGAGAGAGAAACATCGACCAGCTGCCTTTTGCACACCCCCCACCGGGGATGTGCTCGCAACCAAGTACATGCCCCTGACCGGAATCTAACCTGGGACCTTTCAGTCCGCAGACCGATGCTCTACTGCTGAGCCAAACCGGTTTCAGCAAAAATCAGGTATTTTTTACTGTTTGTTGTCCCCTGTCTATTCTCTTTTGGAGAATTAACATATTTATGATATGAACTCATCGTATCTGAGAATAGACATGGTCTATTATTCCATTTGTTCAAGCTTTTTGTTTTCTAGTAAGTAAAATACTGGATAATAATACTTATTTGAGATGTAGCTATTAATTTTCTAATTTATGCAATATTTTCACTGAATATTTTAGTGAATTTATTTTTCAAATGTCTTTTCTATATCTATGGAATTAATAATATAACTTTTCTCTTTGGTAATTATGGTGGATTTATTAATGAATTTTCTAATATTAAATGACCTTACCTTCTTGAAATAAATACAAGTTGGACATGATATATTACTTTATAATCTACTATTGGTTTCTATGTACTTATATTTTTATGAATTTGGCATCAATATTCATAAGTGAAATTGAGTTTTTAATGTATTTTTTGTCAGGTTTTGGAATTGATGCTATACTCAGTAAAATGTATTTGAAAGCTTCTTTCTTTTCAGTGTTATGAACTAGTGTAAATAGTAAGGTGAGGATCTGACCTGTGAAAGTTTCTAGAATTTTCCTGTGAAACCTAGGTCTTATGGGATTTTTAAAAAATTTGGTAATTATTTTGCTATTTTTTATTGTTGTTCTATTCTAATTAGCCTAGGTTTTCTGCCTCAAATTAAGAAAATTTTGGTAAGTTGTTTTCTATAATTTTTTCATTTAATTTAGGTTTTTAAATTTACTTATACTGTACTTCTTTATCTATTTCTTTTGATGATCATTCCACAATTTAAAAAGATGCATATATTTGTGCTTTCTGTATTTTATCTTCATTCAAATAGCTAATGATTCATCTGCTTTTTATTATTTCATTTATTTTTTTATGTCTTCAAATTCATTACTATTCAATTGTCTTAACTGGAACTAATGCTTGGATGGTTCCTTTTTCAGAATGTTCCCCTGGATATTTTGGCCCAGGCTGCACTTTTAATTGCACCTGTCGGAACAGTGGAGTTTGCAACAGGTTTTCTGGAAGCTGTGAGTGCCTCCAAGGTTACTATGGAAGAGACTGTGAACATGGTAAGCAGAGAAAATGAGTGGGCATATTATGGTATCGATAAGTTTTTAATTTTAAAAACTATTTATAAAATAATAAAAGTAATACATTCAGATTATGTCAAATTAGATAAAATGTTAATGTTTTAGTGTATATTCTTACAATGTATTTTATAGCTCAACTTTAAGGTCTAGATGTTGACAACTGCTATAATTAAGTAATTGGACTTCTGTATTCTTTTCTGGAACTAAAATTCAAAAATGATTCTAATGTTCTATAAACATCTGGTGTAGAAACAGGCAGACACACACAAAGGAGCCAACTGATTGCTGGTTCTTTTGAACATAATCATTCTACTTTCTACACAAAATATAAATAAAAAAACTGCTTGTTTTATATTGATCAAGACCTAACTCTAGAAAATGTTCAGGTTCTCCTTAAACATATTTATTTATATCAATTCTTCATTTAGACTTATAGGAAAAGATTTGTACAATAATTAATAATTATACAATAATTTGTCTAATATGCCAGGAAACCTTGATGGGAACACAAAAGATTAAGATGTTAAAGTCTGGGTTGTATAGTTCATTGTATATGGCCTGGCTCTGCCTTCTAAAAGAGGTATAAACTATTAAGTTCAAAGTTTCAATTTCATCACTGTAGAATGGGATAATAATAACACCTACTATAAAAAGTTATAATGAGGATTAAATAAGAAGATACATGTAAGCATTTGTACTAAGACATGTGGCAAAACTTGACCAATATTAATCATTTAAAAGTAAAGGATTTTATAAAACCTCTGAAGTGATAATAGCAATGTTTGAAATTGTTTCCATGTTTTTCAACTTGTTTTTAGCATTTGGCAAATATATTTTACAGGAACCAATTTTACTAAGCCTTCCGAGGTTTACAACTCTTGCCAACCATTCTGAGGTTTCTTAGGTTAGGGAGTGTGGAAGAAAAAAACTTGTGGTTTTGTTTGTTTGCTTTGTCTTCAAAATTGAAATAAGAGATACAGGAGAGAAAAAATATCTATTCAAAGGCCATAAATTTTATACTACTACATCCTACATTCCACAGATCCTATGTATGATGAGTATCAAGGAAGATTTTGAGCAGACAAGAGATACTATTCTAGTGAAATAAATCTGTAAAGTGAAAACATTATTAATTATTAAGAAAAGGAGCCATGGGTAATATCCACATGGAGAGCTATAGTGATAGGCTAGGACTTTAAAATCTGGACTAGGATAGCAAAGGGGATAAACTCTCACTTGGTTGAGCATCATCCCATGCACAGAGAAGTTGTTGGTTTAATTCTTGGTCAGGTCACATGCCTGGGCTTCAGACTGGATCCTTGATGGGAAACATGCAGGAGGTGGCCAATCTATATTTCTCAACCTTCAGTTATTCTCTCTCTCTCTCTCTCTCTCTCTCTCTCTCTCTCTCTCTCTCTCTCTCTCTCAACTTGTAGGCCACAGCTCCAGCACACATGTGTCTTACTATCTGGAGAAGGTGAGGTTTGGCGATACCCTGTTTCCCCGAAAATAAGACAGTGTCTTGTATTAATTTTTGCTCCCTAAGATGTTCTAGGTCTTATTTTCAGGGGATGTCTTATTTTTCCATGAAGAAGAATACAGTACACATTTATTGTTAGATGAAAATAAAGGAAATTTATTACCTGTATATGGTACGGTAGTACGGTAGTTGTCAACACAAACCAGATAAACAGTGAATCCTACAGTATCAAGAATTTACTCATTTATTCAATGACAATCATGTCATCATCTTCTGGAACATCATCATAACAATCCAATTCCTAAACTTCCTGGTGAATTTCTTGTGACTCCATTTCTTTCAGAATCAGTGGACCAAATCTTTCTTGTTTAGCAATAGCACTGTCTTTAAATTAGTACTTCTTGTCAAGGTAGTCTGCTCGCAGTGCATTTGCAATGCAACTATCGATGATTTTCTCCCATGAATTCTTCACCCAAGTCACAACTTCTTACAGTTTAGGTTTCACAAAGTTTCCATGCTGATTTCTCTCCATTCTATTTTCAATGTAGTCATTAATTTCCATGTGCAAATTGTCTTTGAATGGCTTGTTTATTGCAATATCAAGAGTGTGGAGATAGGCCATCATTCCTGCGGGAATCATTATCTGATCTATTTTTCTTTCATGAAGAAATGTCTTCATGTCTTTAGCGCGGTGAGTGCTGGCTGAATCCCAGACTAGCAGACCTCTTTGGCTTCCTTGCATAACAAGCGGCAGCATTAAATCGACCCACTTCCTGATAACTGCTTGTGTGGCCCAGGCTTTTTCAGTTTCAAGAATAAAAACTCCCAGAACACGTTCAATCTTTTCTTGCTTGCTCTTAGAAATGATTAAAGGTGGGTGGGATTTTAGTGCCATCCAGATGAATTGCCAAAATACAGGAAACACATGCACTTTCGTAACCAGTGGAGGGAATGTACACTAAGGAGGCACCCAGCTGTTCAATTGTTGTTTGAGATGATTGGCCCATAAACACTGCAGTTTCATCCAGAGCAATCATGTTGGAAAGGTTGTATTTAGAGAAGTCAGCACCATCAATAAAGGACTTGAATGCAAGTGCTCGCTTAATAACTTGAGTATCTTCCAACCTATAAACAATGTTGTAGATCTTCTTAAAGATAGTTCACTTTGCTGAAGGAAATTATCCAGCCAGTGTTGTGATGCTTTGAAGTCCTCGGGGGCTATGTCAAACTGTGGTGCCATTGCAAGGGCAAATTCTTGAATCTGAGCCATATTCACAACTAAAGCCTTTGCTCTCCTGTCAACAACCCATTCACAGATCAGGTCCTCCAGCTCAGAAAATAATGGTTGCCGACCTGATCCACACTTGTGCTTTTTAGCATTTCCCTTGTCCACTTGTTCAATGAGGTTACCATACTCTGCTCGCCATTTTTGGACCAATTGGATACTCAACATCTTCTCTTTGCAGAAAGCAGTAAGATTTTGGCCCCAAGAGTCTTCCACGATTCCTTTCTTGTACTCCACAGAGTAGCTTTTTCTTTTTCTGCTCATTTTTGGGGAATCAAGGTGGGGGGAGGAGGTTCACTTAAAATGACACAGGGGGAGATCAGAGCAGGGAATCAAAATGGCACAGGAGAATCAGAGGGGGGATTACCATTTTAGTAACCCCTTTTGATCCTCCTGTGTCATTTTAAGTGATCCCCCTCCCCTCACCCCTGTGCCACTGAACACCTCCACCAGACATCCCCCCTACCCCTTTATCAGACATTTACCGCCTGGGGCCTGCCTGGGGACTGTCACTGGGCTTGCTGGGGCCTGGATCTCGGCTGGAGCAGGGTCTGCCGTTGACTGAGAACCTTCAGTCATCATGAGGGCGGCAGTGACCATCAGGTAGTGTCACTAGAGACAGACCAGCACTCACCACCTTGGCCGAGTCCTGTCTGCTCTAATCCTCCTGTTCTACAGGCATCTGCAAAAGTCTCCTCCTCTCTCCTGCCCCGTGCTCACTGCTCACTCTGACCTCCACTCCGCCTCCACACAGCAGTGACGTCAGGTCTCCGCGTAATGTCACTGGTTGCTAGACGCCTATCGGTAAAAGACCAGTTTACGGTAAATTAATTTTCATTCTGAGACAGAGCCTAGGGGGGCCTTATTTTGGGAGGATGCCTTATATTTCACTCAGAAGGAAACCTGTAAGTAGGTCTTATTTTTGGAGGATGTTTTATTTTTGGAGTAATATGGTATTAACCTACTATATATCGATATATACATCATATTCTGTCTTTTATTTCCTTTTTTTTTCCTTTCTCCCTCCCCCCTTTCCCTTATACTCACCTCTATCATCCATTTCCAAAACTTCAAATATCAAGAGCTATATAAATCACCATCTACAGATACTCTCTTATTTATTGAAATAACTTAACTCAAAAACCATTCTTACTAAATTGAAGCTGTATCTAACTTTTTAAAACATTGTTCTCTTGAGTGTTTAGGGTATTTGAGGGTTTTGAAGTCTTTGCCAGGCACATCATAGCAAATAAATTGCACTTACTTGAAAATATTTGTTTTTTTTATAGATTCTTCTAGACTACTTGTAGAAAATGGATTAATGCACTCACTTATTTGTATGACTAAACTATGGTTAATATGCTTCTCCACATAATTTTTTCTTGTTTCTAATTTTACGCTTTCATCTTCTTCTTTGGTCCTGGGAAACAAATGACCTACAGTGTATCCTTTAATTTTTGCTGTATTTATTCTTAAAGCCAAAATAGCATTTTGACATTTTTATTTTCCAGCATGCCTTCCTGGATTTTATGGTTTGAATTGTGCGCACATCTGTGACTGCAGAAATGGAGCCAGTTGCGATCCAATGAGTGGACAGTGCATTTGCCCAGCAGGTTTCCATGGCAGCCAATGTGAAAAAGGTAAACAGAGCATTTTAAAGCAGGTAAATAGGGGAATTCTGGGTGAATGTGAGGTCTTTTTATCTTAGGGCAAACATAAACCCAAATCAAAAACATGGAATAGTCACTTAAGCTTCCAACTTGGACATTAGAGTAACAGGAATTCACTCTATAGCCAATATATATCTTTCTGATTTTGTTGCTACATAATTGTTCAAAAATTTTAACTTCTCCTAAGTGAAATTGTTTACTATCCCAAACCCCACTAAAGCTGTTAATCTTCATCGGACAAAGATTCTACCTCTGAATGAGAAATATTTTATTAAAAGATTTTTAAAAGATTATCTATTGAGTTTAAAGATACTAAAATAGATACAGGCTTTATGAAAAGGATGGAAATTGGGCATTTATTACTAGAAAATAATGGCAGCCATGAATGTGGATGAGGAAATAGAGGTGAGAACTTGGGCTACTTAGTTTAAAATGGTAAATTGTAAAGTCCTAAAGCACTGATCCATCTATTCTAGAGTACAAAATTCTTGGTAAGCAACTCAAAATATCATTTTAGTCTATATTATGTATGACTTATGTATAGGGTTATAATAATCATTATGATTATAATATTATGATAGGGGTCACTTGTCTTTATGTGAATCCAAGTTATTGCCTTTAAAAAGATTCATGTGGGTGGGTGGGATGAGCTCAACCAAAGAGCTTGTATGCATGATTGCACAACATATGGACATAAACAATAGGGTGGTGGAAGCTTGAGGCAAGGGGGATGGGCCATAAAAGAGTCAATGGAAGAAAAAAGGAGATATATGTAATACTTTCAATAGTAAAGATTTTTTTAAAAGAAAGAGACAAGGCTACAAAAAATAAATAAAAAGGATTCATATGCTACTCCCATACTACTAGTATATCCTCATAAGTCACCAGAGCTGTACATACAGTATTTCTTGCTATCGTTTATTCGCTTACCCACTTATTATTTATGGTTATGCTTTGGGAATATAGTAGAGCTTACAGTCTTCTGGGAAAATAGTAAATAAATAAATAACATTTTAAGGAAAAATACTAAAAGTTATACTCTTGGGTAGTAGATTCAATCTCCTTCCTTGAATTCCTATCTTTGAAAGCCCTACATATATTCTCAAAGGTAAAAAACCAGTGTCAGAGTAAATCAATTTAAAACCTAAGTATGAAATCATGTACAAAATGAAGCTGATTTCTGGGAATTCCAAAATTTTCTTCTTCTAACCAACAAATCTCATTTGATCCTCCCACTTTGCTATTTGGGGCTGAGTCTTGAGGAAATTCTATCATTAATCCCATGTTAGCTGCATCAGTGAAAGTTCAAGTGGTTAATGTTTCAGCATTTCTCTTTCCTTGGTAGAGTGTTCACCTGGGATGTTTGGAGACAATTGCCACCATTTTTGTGACTGTGAAAGCAAAATCTCCTGCCACCCGGTAACTGGAAAGTGCCTCTGTCCACCTGGGAGAGCCGGAGCCAGATGTGAAGCTGGTATGAGCCAAGTACCTGGTGATGTCCCTCTGATTCGTGGGTGATACAGAGATCTCTATGCATTTTTTATACATAAAGTATTATGCAATTAATACCATACTACCATTGCTTGTCACCTTGCCTTACTATGATTAATCAAGGTATTTGGCTGTTGCATAACAGCAACCAAAACCAGCACGACAGCCAACAGAGGACACCTTGAAGTCACCTCAAGGTGATGTAATTAAACATCCTGATTACAAAAGCAATTCAGAAAAATCACTAGAAATGAGGCTAATAAGATACAGGTACTATTCTTGAGAACCAAGTTCCCAGTATTCTTGGGAACTGAGATTTAAACTTTCCCCCCACCTCTACACTCACAGGAAGAAAGGCCTAGAATGTAAAATTCAAAATCTTTAGGGACTATCTTAAGAGGAGAAAGTAGAATGAATGAATCATTGACTCATCACTTACAATTTAAACTTTAGTGTAGGGGTGTCGAACTCAATCAGAGAAGGGGCCAAAATCAAAAATCCAGCCTAAATCGCGGGCCGAATGGTTTACTGAACAGTCATAAACTGTCATTGTGATGGAAACGCAGCGGAGTGCAGTGATGACAGCGGGGTGCGGGCCACATTGCAAGGCCTGGCGGGACGGATTTGGCCCGCGGGCCTTGTATTTGACACATGTGCTTTAGTGGATGCTTCCTAGATGAGAATGTTTCATATGTTATGCAATAACCCCGAAGGTCTGATCATCCTAAACATTTTGCTTGTATTCATTTACCCTTCATCACCACCCCATGAGGCTGTTCTATGTTTATTCCTACTTAACAAAAGAGAGAGCTGAAACACAGAAAAGTAGGAAGAGTCAGAAACAAGATTTAATCCCAAGCAGTCTGGTTTTGACCCTTGGGTGATGATGCTCTTAGTAGATAATACTCTCTCTTTCTCTCTCTCTCTCTCTCTCTCTCTCTCTCTCTCTCTCTCTCTCTCTCTCTCTCTCTCTCTCTCTCTCATATATATATTAGAGGCCTGGTGCATGAATTCCTGGTTGAGGGGACAATTTGCATATTAGCCTTTTATTATATAGGATATACACGGAATGGCCAGATTATTATGCATTCAGAGATCATAATAATCTGGCCACTCAGTTTATATGTCAGCATGTGACAGTCCTGTATAAGGAACCCTCAGGGGCTCATCAAGAGATTTATATTCTTTCCTACCCCTTCTTCCCTTTTTCATAGGCCTTTAATGTAAGTTCAATGGGTTATAAATATTGGGTTGGAATCCTTTGGGATCTTCCAACTCAGAAGCTTACTGATGCTGACATTTCTTTTTTGCAAAGCTGCTTCATTTATGGCTCTAATCATTGCTTCAGTGCACTACAAGCTTCTTGGGAGTTCGATCCATGTTTATTTATCTTTTATCGTAAAAAGCTTAGTAAAGGGTCTAGCACATGACATTTTTCAGCAAATTTTTGTTTCTTTTCAGCATTCCTCAGGGAGTCATGGTAAACATGTTCCTGAACCTTGTCATATCTAAACTAAGTCTGTCAGAATAAACATCAGCATGACATATTGGCAAAGCCACAGTACACATGTCACCAATGAAATGCTCACTGAAGGCAGATTGCTTATAGTGTTTGTGGTTTCATCCAAATACTGAAGAAAATCATTCATGTTTATTGAATGTGTATCATATACCAGGCATTTTAATGTATACTCAGTGCCTTTACTATCATTGCCCTTCCCTTTAATAGATGGGGGAGCCCTAGAAGGTTTGGCTCAATGGAATGAGCTTCAGCCTGTGGACTGAAGGGTCCCAGGTTCGATTCCAGCCAAGGGCATATGCCTGGGTTGCGGACTCAATCACCAGTATGGGGCATATATGAGGCAGCCAATCAATGATTTTCTCTCATCATTGATGTTTTTATCTCTCCTTATTCCTCCCTTTCTAAAATCAACAAAATATATATATTTTTAAAAATAGTGGGGAAACTGCAGCACAAAATTGTTATGTAATTTGCCCAAAGTTACACAGCTAATAAATGGCAGACTGGGGATTTGAAACAGACAATCTGGGTCCAGGGCCAGACCCAACATCTCCACTATATTGCCTCTCAAGGGAAAGAAAGGAACAAGAATTGATTTTGTTGTCCAATATGCCTTGACCATTAACCACAGGTTGCTATTTAATTTATATTTAGTTTAATTTAAAATTCACCCCCTTAGTCACATCTCAAGTGTCCAGTGGCCACATATGGTTAGTCACTACAATGCTGGATAGCACAGGATAGACTGTTTCATCATTGCTGAAAGTTCTGTTTGACAACACTCAGCAGTGTCTTAACACTAGCTTCTTCTAAACCAAGAGAGCTTATGGCCAGGCTGGAAATGAAGGCCTCACCTTATGGACTTTCTATGGACTAAATTCTTGTATCACAGTCTTTTTTTATCCACAGAAAAAATGCCATGTGACAGGAGAACATATGTATTAACATGCCCAATCTCAGTGGGCACCTCAAGGCCTCTCTTGTCATGAGCTCTTTGGGGTACCCACAGCTTACACAGATGTACTACATGGTCTTTTATTTGCAGTTTTATTTTCAATTAGGCACAGTTCATCTGCGATATTAACTGTGAGCAGCTGTGTCTATGCAGGCACTAAAAAGATAAAAGACCTCATTTTAATTTGAACTCTGGTAAAGGACCTATTAAACAGCCATAATGTTAATTCATAAAAAAATGTAACAGCTTTTTATTGGATTATTTCCCCACCCCCTTGGTAAATTAACATTTGCAGACATTCAAACAGATGTCTTAAATACACATCATTATTAACATAAAAATGTGGTATTTTTATAAATTAAAATCAGATTCTGAACTGCTTAGGAGGGATCCTGACTCATAACTCTTTTTCAAACAAGAAAACTAGGTCTTACCACCAAGCTAAGTAATCCTCCTACACACTGGGCAGGGTGGATGTATTAGTTTAGGATTTATTTGTTTGTTTAGTTATTTATTTTTAATATTTATTTATTATATTGATTGGGATGACATTGGTCAAAATGAAAATATACAATTCAGGTGAGGGTTTCTATGTTATAAGATCTGTATATTGCACTGTGTGCCTACCACCCAAAGTCAAATCTTCTCCTGCCACCTTATATTAGGATCCCTTCTCCTGCCCCCACCCTTCCCTCTAGCAATCACCACTGCTGGTTATGTTCCCAAATATCAATACAGTATCATACATATAAGAGAAATCATTTAGTTCTTAGCTTTTTCTGACTGACTTATTTCACTTATTATATTTTATGATGTACAGAAAAGATTCATTTCAGAGCAGCATTTACATCATCTCCTTTTAGCTACCTGTTCTTCCTTCATCTAGAAAGGGATTGAATTACTGTTTGCTCTGCAAAATGAATTAATTGCAAAATTGATTGAGTTCTCATTTTTCTCATATTTAAAATCTAACTGGTTAATTAAGGCAAGAAGGCCAGAACATATCAGCCTACCTTCATTATCCAAGAGAGCAATAAACAAACAAACATGCAAGTGCTTAATGGAGTATTTAGGGTGCATCTCCAACCCAGCCAAGAGAATTTTGAGGCAATAATTATAGAAATATTTTACAAAACTATACCCATAGACTCAGAGTTCACTCTAGGACTGGTATCCTCGTATTTACATTGATATTTCTTAATTTCTCACTTTCCAGCTCTCTCCACTTATTTTGGCTTTCATCTACATATGCTTGGTATGGCATGTCTTTCCACATGGCAGTGCAGATTGAGGAATGAGCACTAGATAAGAATTTAGAACTCTGGCTCTGCCATTTGCCAGGAACATTACATTTGTGAAGTCTCTTAAGCCACATCAAACCTTTTTCTCTCTCTACAATGAGAGAGGACTTACCTCACTGTCTTGACTACCTCGCAGTTTTGCTAGAACCATCTGTGTATATATGTTTGGGACCCACTTTGTAAACTGTTTAGAGCTAGGTGACTCATCATTGCAAAGTTGAGTTTCTGTAATTCTTAAACATCAGTAGTAAGTTGAGTTACTTCCCATTCTAACCTGAATGAATCGGAGCCCATTTTCTGTTTCCATGGGCAGGCCTGGGCTTTCTCTCTATCCTCACAATCCTTCAGAAACAGAGTCTATTAATTCTCTCCTAGTTTTCTGTTGTACATCAGACCAAAACCAAATGCCCAAGATTGGGTGTGATGCCTGAGGGAAACATTAGTCCACACGTTTAGCTATTTTGATTAGACTAACATTTTTAGTCCTTCTCTCTTCATTTCTCTGCTGGTTGAATGCACAGTGCAATTCCACTTAAAAGTAGTTACATTCCTTGAATATAAATAGCAGGATTTTACAGAAGTAGGTACACAAGGCGTCTCTGGCCATTGTGACATATTTTAAGAGGCGAAAGAGTTGATTGTAAAGCCATGTCATTTTCAACAACATAGGCACACATAATCATGTTTTCAACCTGAAGACCAATTTGTGTTATCCTGGGTGAGTGTTGCCTTTTTCTGACCTCCCATAGACTAATCCATTCTCCCCGTGTCCCTTGAAATACTACTGCGATGAGCTCTATTACAACAATCTAATTCTGGGAGGGCACTTCACAAAATTTAAGTTGCTGTTCTGATTTCTCTTTTCAACTTTGTCACTATCTTCCTTGACACCCCCCCACCCACCCCCCAGCCTCTTCCTGTTTTTCATTAAAGACCTGACTTTTATTTTATTTTTTATTTTATTTTTTAGAACAACAGTTGTTGCTTTTTTTTATATATATATTTTATTGATTTTTCACAGAGAGGAAGAGAGAGGGATAGAGAGTTAGAAACATCGATGAGAGAGAGTCATCGATCAGCTGCCTCTTGCACACCCCCTACCGGGCATGCGCCCGCAACCAAGGTACATGCCCTTGACCGGAATCGAATCCGGGACCTTTCAGTCTGCAGGCCGACGCTCTATCCACTGAGCCAAATCGGTCCCGGCAAAGACCTGACTTTTAATACATAGCATTCTAGCCTGGGGGAAAGATACCACATAGTTAACCAGAATTCTTTGCAAGTCTATTGTTATCTTATGCAATTCCAAGAAATAGTAGTAAAGATACTATGTGATGGATAAACATATCTGAATTACTTTTATATTTATTATTTTTTCCTCACAGAATGCAGGCCAGGCCAATACGGACCTAACTGTTCTCTGATGTGCCAGTGTGCCCACGGGGCTCCGTGCAACCCGCTCAACGGGAGCTGTACTTGCCCCTCAAAGAGAATGGGTCCAACCTGTGAGGAAAACGTTTTGGATGATGGTCAATAACGGAACGCTAGCAGCTTTTCAGTGGGTGGACAGAATTTCGCCAAGGCTCACCCACAGTTTATCATCTTCACTTTTGGCAGGGAAATGCATTTACTCAACCATCTTCAGCCCAGCCTCTCCTGTTGTGAGTGAAAAACGATGTCTCCAATTTATGACCCTCAAGCAGAAGTTCCATTTTCCAGCCTACCCTTCCCAACTTTCTTCTGCTGAAGAACATGCCCAAGAAAGAGAGAATATTTTTTCAAGATCCCAATTGTAGTAACATTTTGGACTAATAAGCGAAACTCTTTTTTATATGCACAGGCGGTATTTAAATTTGGAAGTCAAAAATGCCTCTCAGTTCAGCTTGGACTGCACTGAAATATTCACACCTAGTCACTGAAGACCTCCGTGGTCATTAAGTAGCTGGATCCTCTTTAGAAATGTCTAGAATTTCATCGATTTATTCTTAGTATCCTGCTCCACAGCTGAGCCTGCTTCAGGTTGTTATGGTATTGTATTTCGAACATGACTTTTGGTGTGGGAGACTATTAAGGCTTTAGCCACTTATAGATCTGGGTAAAAAGTCTGATGGGCACACTTACAATGAATCAACAGCATGTTTAGTGGTGGTCTCCTCATCACTGGTCAGCAGACAGGAAAAAAGTAAGTAAAAATGATCAAGGTGAGTGCTTAGCCTGCTCTGGGGAAAACACATTTCCAATAGAGTAGGGCCTGACCACAGCCAGGCTTTTACTCCACATTGGTAATTTTGATCCAAATTGCTTACCATTAGGTCAGCTTTGCAGATATTTGTAAGCACGACCACTGTGATGAGCCCAGGAAAGATGTGGCAATAAATATAATCATATTTTTGTTCTCAGGCAGTTTAAAAGCCTTTAAAGGTTCAGGCTACTGGTTAATTAACATTAGATAATAATAATTTTTATTGGAAATGTTACTTATGTAACTCATGCTTTATTGAGATAACAATAAATAATATTAAATTATATGATTAATGGATATTGTCTAGAATAGTTTTTAAATAAAAACTGATTTAGGATAGAAATGACTAAAGGACTTATGAAAAATAATTGGGGTTATCAATTCAGTATAGCTTCTGATTTTTACTTAACAATTATCTTCCTATATTCAGCACATTTAACAGAAATATAGCATACGTATAATAGACAGCCATGACAAATTTCATGTCATTAAATGATGTAAAGAGCTTGATTATATAACCTCTTGAGAGGTTTTAAATTTGGTTTTATTTTAAAAGAGTCAAAATCAACTTATCCCCCCCTTCATCTACATTATTGGGAATTATAAATTTATGTTTATGTTTAATTCATTTTAACTTGTTTTTATTAAATAAATAGAATAGTATGCTTTATTATAAATATTTGCTCATTTTTCTTATATTTTTAAATCTTCTCTCAGCTCTCTCATCTGATTTTTCAAATAGAATAAAATATATCAAATCAGAGATTTTTCTTGAGCTGTTATTGATTGCTGAACTCCCTTCAATTTAAGGGGGAAAGTAAAAAAAATAAAAACAGTGACTGCCAACAGGGAGAATAAAACAAGAAACCAGATTTCCTTACTAGAGGTCTTGTCTCCTATTACAACACGTGAGAAACTCAATCTAGAAAAAAAGTTTCTAGAAACTTTTCATGGTAGGAATACAAAGAATAAAAGATTTCTTTTGGGTGAAACTTTTTATATCATATTGCTTAACTTTTTATAAATGAGAAGCCTTATGTAAAATGTTAAGCACAGTTCTTGGCAAAAGGTCAATGGCCCAATATTATCTCTCTTCATCCCCCATGGCTCCCCAACTCTGAAATAAATCAAGAGAGTGGGAAAGCGAAGCCATTGCCTAAACCTATATTTGTACTATCACGTGGCCCATAGATAAATGGAGTTTCCCCTTCATCCTTATATCAGTCAATAAGAACTAATGCCAGGTACTGTAGCCACTTTTCTTTATAAAAGTTTTGTAGGTTGTCTTTCATATCAAAAAAGAAAATACAAAAATGTTTAATATCCAGAATATTTCCATTTTCTACTTGGTCACCTTGAAAAATCTTGATTTTTGATGGCACCCTACAAAAATTAATAACTATTTGATAAATTATTCCTTCTAAAAATATTGCAGTTCTTTTGCTTGAAGACACTAGCAAATGTCTGAAAATCATTATAGGCAATGACATTTCATTCATGGACCAACATACAATAAATGTTCCTCTTAAATAATTTAACATCTGAAAAATTATAAAATAGAATTCCCTTGCAAAATTATATAACTAGAATTTTAAAAATTATTTTTAATAGTTGCATGTAAAAAAATGTTTCAAATTAAGAATATAGTTCACAGTGACCCACATTTCTGAGCAAATAAATAATCCATCCTTATTACTTTCATAAGGATTTATCTGAGCTTTCTACATGTAAATTGTTCAGGTAGAGTTAAACATAATCTGCTTACCAAAAAAAGTAATTTGCACAGAACTTTTAAAAATTCAACTATTTAAAAGTAAGGCATGATTTAACAGGCATGTCCTCTTTAAACTGAAGTCCAGTGTCAAATTAGAGTCATTGTCATGGCATAGAAATATTTCATATTACTCCTCCTACTTTCCCTTCCTATATAATCTGCTCTTTGAATGTAGAAATGCTGACCCCAAAAGAAATCCATCCACCCATAATACCCCTTTAGAAAGGTGCCTGTGCTGCGATGTTTCAGGCTCTTTCATTTGAAATACAAGATCAGAGTGGGGATTATTATCCTTTTCTGCAATAATATAGCTCAAGTTTAAAGAAAACTGAGCAGATGTATGGAAGTGTGCTGGCTAATTTGGAGTTTCCATCTAACATGCGTGGGATATACCATTTCAGTTTAACACCTAACTTTCCCCCTACTCTTTCTAACTTCTATGCTCATTTATTGAGTTTTCCAGATGAGACAGCTATTTGACACAGGCTAAATTATTTTTAGAGAACTTGGAAATCATTCCAAGAGTTAGTGGCAAGAATGGCATTTCCTTTGTTAGAAATAGCAAAGAGGGTTTGGCTTCTGCGGGGCCTCTTTCACCTTGGTTTCTTCAGGACCTGGTAATACAGACGTAGCAAGAATTTAAAAAAGCATTTTGATGAAGTGAACAAATAATAGCTACTGTCTGCACTCTAGGAGTTATATATGCAATTCAGTTGAAATAACTTCTCATGGTTCTATAATAGAAAAAATATCAAAGTAGCTGAGCTTTTAAAATAGATTTCAAGCAATTCTAAAGTTTTGACCCTTTTTAGCTAGTCATTTAGGAACTTTTCTACTTTTCCTGCTTATATTTTAGTTTTCCAAAATAAAAGAAAATAATACAAAAAGTCAATATTTAAAGTCTAGGAAATATATTTAAAGTCAGCAGATAACTCTTTTTATATTCTTCTAAATACTGACACACTCTTTTATCTCTAAATCTTTTGTCAGTATTATATAAAACACCATTTAACCATTCTTCATTTTGATGTTTGTACAAATAGTTCAAATTTTGGAAAAAATACTATCTCAAATAACTAATATTAACATTTTGTTCTTCCACTGGATATTTTAAAGTTATATAGAAAATTTTATAATAATGTCTCTACTTAAAAACAATATAAGTGAATCCACAAAACATAATTTTATTGCTCCAACTTCATGAGAAAAGTTCAACAACAGTCCATCAGACAAAAAGATTCATGTGAAAAATTGGATATTAAGTGCTTAAGTGTTGACAATATTGGTCTCTTGAAATGTAGAGCATTGGTTTGTGAACAAAATTCCATATGTAAGAATTGGATGAATTTGGTAGCTAGTGTTGAACATGTATTTGATGCATAATGAAACTTGTGACTGATTATCTATCTGAATGGTCAGTTCATAATATTACAAAGCACTTATTGACTGCAAAATGCCTTCATTAGTGTCACTATTTAACTATTGCCTAAAAAGCAATTTTCTGTATTTTAACTCTATCCTGAATTTACTACCTCACTCAAAAATATTTATTGAGTGTCGACAATACTAGATATTGTTGGAGGCATAACAAAAATAGTGGTGAACAAGACGGATGTGTTCCCTGCCCTCATAAACTTACAGTCTAGTAGATGATATTAACCAATGAGTGCAGAGTTTTTAAACATTCTTAGCCTTTCAGTGAGTTTAATAGTTCATCCATCCTTGTTTACTAATCCTTTCCTAAATCTATTTCTCACAAATCTATTAATTCTCTTACATTCACTCAAACTTTGACAAGTAATATGTATTCTACATCACCTTAAAAAAATCTACACAGCAGGCTTTATATTCTTTAATGCTACTATAGGAAATAAAATACATATTTTTTAATTTGTGAAGTACCATTTTACATTTAAAGAAAACCACATTATTTTTTTTGCAATGTAAAAGGCAAGTCTACTTTCAAATCTGTTGTTATAACCCTGATAGCATGGGGACTGAGGTAATGGAAACAGAAAAAAAAAGAAGAAAAAAAAAAGAATATTTGTCTTTTTTCTTTTTTTCAACTATCATATTCCTTTTTGACATCTATTGCTTTCTCTTTTGGTCAAGATGAGTGACTAACATGAGTAACCAAGATTATTGTTTCCCAGTGATAAAAAGAGGTTATTTTTTAGACAGTTTAAAAAATCTAGTCTTATAAGGCAAGTAATTCTCTTAAGTGTAAAAAAAAATACCATGCTATTTTAGTGGTATCTCAAAACAAGATTAGATTATTTCTTTTTTAAAATTATGATAAAACTAGTGTCCCAGTGCATGGATTCATGCACATTTAAAAGAAATTACTTAGAAGAAATATTTTAATATCGCTATTCACCCTTTCTATATAACAGAAAGTGTCTACCAAATTCATGATTGGCAACAACAGATGGCACCAGCGAGAGCTTTATATGTATAATGAATGTGCAAGTCAACTTAGCCTTTTATATATATATATATATATATATATATATATATATATATATATATATAATAAACTTGCTTAATTAGACCTGCTTTCTTATTTAGCTAAACTTTTTCCAGCCCAGTGAAGCACCTCAACTTCTCTTTAAGGTAATTATTAGCAACACAGCAGTAAATATCAACACAAAGCAGATTATTATAGTAGAGCATACAGGGAGAACAAAGGGTAAAATATTTAACTGCAGCAGTGTTTGATTATATTCTGCACAGTGAGAAAACCTGAAGTCATTTTCAAGGCCCACCATTTCTTACTTTTTTTCAGTAGGGTCAAGTTTCTAAACTTTCTAAATCTCCGTTTTCTGACTAATGAAAAGAAAATAGGATTCCATGGAATCTCCTATCTACCTACTCAAGGACTTCTGTGAGGATCAAATGAGATGAGGCACAGGAAAATGGGAAATGTTTCACAGACATTTGGTGAAAGTGTAAAATGTTTGCACCTGGCTATAGCAAGTCATGTTTCTGGGCTGAAGAAACTTCAAGGAGGCTAGTCACTAGGGAGAGGAAGCTGGGCGTTGCTAGGTGATATTACCTGGCACCCACAGCCACCGTTTCCCTGGCTGGGCTGGGCTGTGGGCCACATTTTGTGCCATGGGGTCTTGGCAGCATTGGCTGCAATTTGGTGGGCTGTCACTCTGGGGCCTGTGACCCACTTGGGGGAAGCCAAGTGTTGTTTTGTGGGCACCAGGTACGTGTTGCTATTTCTTTGTAAATGTCCAGTGCACATCACGGCAGCTCCTGTGTTGAGTGTCTTCCTCCTGGTGGTCAGTGCACATCATAGTGACTGGTCAGACAGTTGGAGGGACACTTAGCATATTAGTCTTTTAATATATATATATATATATATATATATATATATATATATATATAACAAAATTTACCATCTTAACCATTTTTTCAATACACAGTTCAGTGGCATTAAGGATGCTCATGTTGTGCTACAATCAATAAGGATTATTTCTTTTACTATAGGAAGAACTTCCTGATGCCAGTTGAATAGCATGTAGAGTCAGTATAAGTTAGTCTGCTTGAATAAGTTAATTTATATACTGTCTGCATTTGTGATTTTTTAAAATATTCTGTGACTACCTTATTTGAAAATATGCTTTCTATGTCTCTTCCTATTTGCTAGCATTTCTGAAACAAATACATTTTCACATTTAAGCAGTTATACTATCTCTGGGGATCATATGACTAGAAGAAGAGCCATTTTTCCCTAAGTGTATCACAGTTATAGCTCATTCACTTTTAACATATGTCTAAATATGCTTAAAAACAGTAAGCAATCAGCAAACTTACTGCATTCTATGAAATATTCACCAAACTTATAATTCTATTTTGACCAACT